AAGTTGATCTTCTCTACTTCAGTTTTTGTTGCACATTCAAAGAACTTTTGTTTTCCACTCCCCTCCTAGAGCTTTCCCGAAAGCAACTACCAGCCTGTGGTATAATTTAGACACGGCAGCAAATACTATTCAATTCCCAACTGCTAAAATATATTTAGTGTGCTGCGGCAGACAAACTTTTAGTTTTTTTTCTCCCAATCTTATTTGGTATCACAGGATCAGGGTGGAATATAACAGCGACAGGTTTCATACTTGATAAAATTAAACAGTCACTCCTACGTGGTGCCTGGTTAAGAATCAGAGAGAGCACCTCTAAACCACTGTGCTTTAAAATATCTATTATAACAACATCAGTAAAAATGACAGGAGCCCCTTTAGCCATCCGAGATGGAAAAGGCTGACAGATGTGATCTAGGCAACTAGAAGGACAAACTGAGAGTGAAGAACAATAATAAATATGGTACTGGACATTCAACACGAGTTGAAAGTTAAATACTTCTTCCCGTTCTTCTTTACGTTCACCGGCTGTAAACTCCAGGAGGTTTAGGTTGTTCATCCAATTCTGGACTTTAGAACTATGGTTTTGTGTGCACATCCATTTTACAGATCTGGATTATTTGTGTGCAAGACTGTTGATTCCTTGCCTCTCAGGCAGATGCATTCCAACTTTGAAGTAAACACCCATATCAGGCGACTTTTATGACATGCTTGTGGGGGGGGGGGGGGGGGGCAGGCGATCTATTCCTTACCCACTCTAGTGGGACCCCAGAACTCACAAGTGAAGATTAAACAGTGGCACAAACTTGCTCATGGACACTGCTCCAAATCTTCTTTTGGTCTCCTTCTGCCTCTCTTCCATTCTTTCTCAAATATCAATATGTTCTCATGTTTCCTCTTTTCACAACATGCCCAGTTCTGACGTGGATAATTAGTTGTCTTTAGGAGTTTATTTCGTTTAAAACAGAATTATTTTTTGAAACTGTCATTCTTCTATAAACAACATCTCTGCAGCTTTGAAGTTTTTTTTATTTTATTTCTCAGATGACTGTCCATCATTCACTTCCGTATATAAGGACTAGCTGTATACTGTGCTCTTAAGAATATTTCTCCCCTCAGTTGACAAAGGTAGATGGCACAGAAGATTATTCAGAGTGAAATGCAGTTTTCGCTATTCAATATTTAATTTTAAAACATCTTCCATCTGCTGTTAACAGTTTTTTTTTTACCAAAGCATTTAAATTTAAATACATCAGTATGCTTCAGATTCATCCCAATTATATTGCTGCTGCATTTTAGAGGACTTTCTTGCTTTGCAATTACCATTACTTCTGTTTGCCTGCTGTTCAAACTAAGACCCTTTTTAATGATTTTTCTGTTACAGTTATGTTCACTATTTTTTGTGACTGCACTTAATTTTCAGTGATAAAAACGACATTATTAGAATATGGCAGGTTGTTTTTCAATAATGTCTACTGTCGATCCATTTTATGATGGTAGGCACATAGGGTTAAGGGTCACCTCCTTCCATATCCTCAGTAGCCAATCTCCTACATCTCACCAAGATATCTCCAGCATGGATAACTACAGCAATTGTAGCTCACTTCTATACAGTTTATTAATGAAGGTAATTATACAATTCTGAAAGCAACTGATCACATACTTTCTCTTAGGAGTGCGTTGTTTATCTATCAAAAATAATTCCCTCCAATCTGTCTCGTAAAGTTGCTGTCAACTGACTGAATCTCATTCTCTATGTCCAAAAATCACCAGTCAACTTGTCAACCTTTAGTTACATCAAGATCTTCTAGATTCTCTCCTATCATGGCTATCTCATCATGGAGAAAACTGTTTCACCATGGCTGTCTCAGGGTTGGCTTGCTTTGTAAAAAAAAAAAAAAAAAATCATCACGTTCAACCAGCATCTCAAAGGGGGAGCTTTGGGTTATAACTATGACTGGGTTATGTGCACCATAAAATGGCCTAGCACTGCTCTCAATTCAAGGAGCCCTGGAAAGTTCTCTTGCAACAATGATGCGATCAAAGGAGATAGACCCAAATACTGACTGGTGGTGAAATCGTGTACCAGTGGGGCAATGGGCGATCTGGTCATCGATGCATGATGGCTGTCCAGTCCACTATGGCCAATCACATATCCGTATTAACCCTAACCAGACCACTGGCCCGATTTTCCAGGAATTTCTTAACCTGACGCTATACCGCTGGCCCTAATTTTAGGCTATTTGCGTAGTATGTGAAAAAGATGCGCCACAAACTAAAAATAACTAGCCAATCGTAATCAGACCTCGTGGATAGTCTTCCTAGATGTCCGCCCTAGTGTATTTGGATAAAATTTGTTGTTTTACGTGAAAAAAAATCTGAAAATTCACAATAAAACGAGCGGCTGATAAACCAAGCACTTTGACAGGAAAGTAATGTAAGTCTAGGCTGTTCACAGTCTAACAGGTGATCAATACTTTGCTTTATTCAGACTCTGCAGAGTCATAATGTCACGAAGAATACGTTCACAGTTGAAGCGACACATTCAGCTCGAATAATGAGGAGAATCTTGAAAATTATAAATCTAGAAATAGATCGGCAGTAAGAGAAGGGGGGGGGGGGGGGGGGGGGTTGTGTCTCTCAAACAGCAACATCTGGCGCTCACTTTGTGAAACAATCTTGATACTCCTGAGTGGATTGGCACACAAAGGTGAAATATTGGCGCAGATAAAAGATAAACCTATTTTCTACAATGTCTCCAAGTTTTATCTTATTCTAGCCACTTGTTTGCATGTAATGAATATTTTTGTACATCATGTTGGTTTTTTCGTGTTAATGCCCAGGAGCTCAGGTATAGGGGACAGTTAGGTTCAGGGCCTCAGGTCTGGCAGGGTTAAGTCAAGTTTAACCAATGACCGCTTTTTTTTTTTTTTAACGCACTAGCAAACATCCTGAAACCCACCAAATGATATTCCTGCCAAATCTTGTAATGGTTCTCATTACTGCACAGATTAGACAGACAGTCAGACAATATTACAAATCAAAAGCAGCAAAAGTCTGTTGTTACAACATGACACTGTAGAGACAATAAACACTATGGTGACTGTGACACATAACACAGATGTTCCAGAACCTTTTTCATATCCTAAAGATAAGAGGGGGAGGGGGACAGAAAGAAAAAGAAGTGAGAAGGAGACAAAGATGAATAACAGGCAAGCATTCCCCATTGTAGGAACATGCACTAGCACAAGACAAACTGCCCGCTAACGTGTATTAAACCGTGAGACCTTTCCTTTTAGACAACTGGTAGAACCAACAGCTAACCACACTTGTAAAATAATAATGTGCCTTTCATTACACCAAGTGTCGATTACACCAATGGTGATGTTGTTTAGGAAGGCTTCAGGGATAAGGACAAACGTAACACGAAGTTGTCACCATGCGATGTACAGGCTAGAATTTCTACCTCACTTCAACAAAAATAAGGATGGGGGAAAAGGGGGGAAGGGGGGGGGGGGGGGGGGGCACATTTCCTAACTTAAGAATTAAACACACCCCATGACATGTGAAGCAGATATCCCAACCTCCTGACCACTATTTTCCCTTGTGTATACTGTGTTCATTTGCAGAAAAACAAAAATGACCCTTGGAAGAGTTGTCACCGCATCATGATGCAGAAACATGCAAGTATGCCAAGTCACATTGTTTTTGTGCTAACAAAGTTCACAAAATCATCAAACAGCACTGCAGTTATAAATACATGCAAGTTGCAAATTTCTTAAATGCCAGACAACTAAGCAGCCAAACTCCATGCCAGCGCCAAGAAGCACCACATGCTAACAGAACAGCTTTGCTTACTTGTATTTATCTGATACTGACATAAAGCTCAGACCAACAAAAACTAAATATCATTCGCACTGCAACTGTAGAAGAAGTTGGGTGCCTCACCCCGAAAATTTTTCATAAAGCATTACTGGGTGCACTGCAGTCACTTTTCATTATTAATACACCCCCTCCCTCCGAGCTAGAATGGCACAAAATCAGGTATGCAGGAATGCAATAGCATTCAAAACAGAAATTAAAAGACTATATTTTTTCATCTCTGTGTTCACCGGCTATGAACCAGCAGAAAGTTCTGGCTGTTTGTCTAATTCTGGACTTTTGTCTAGTTACAGAACTTGAGCTTTGCGTGCACATCCACTTTGCACATCTGCTGACTTGTATGCAGGCTGCCGGCTCCTTGTCCCTCTGGCAGATACGCCTGAACTTCAGATGAGAAATTCCGAGTCAATCGCCTTTTACAGCAAGCTTGATAGGGAGGCTGTGGGTCTACCGTTTTTTCCCCCCTGAAACGGGGTCCCAGAACCCATATGGAAATAGAAGAAATTATAAATATGACTGTCTGCACTGTCTTTACTTACAAACCTTCAGGGCAGCGAAGGAAAGCCTGAGTATACAGGAAAACATGGCTAGTCTCTGACATCATAAAAGATGTAAATATCAAGGAATATTGCTACTGTAAAAGGGATGTGCAGGCAAAACTCAACTTCTGGATCAAAATACCAGGAGTGGATGATCAACCAGAAAACTCTGCCAGATTTTACAGCTGATGAAAGCTAAGAAAAAGGAACGTGAGAGTGCCAAATGTGAGTCCAGCATTTTAACCATCCAGCCAGCTGTGCCTCCAGAGTAAGTATAACTGTGCAAGCGACAAGCCCCACGACCACAATCAAGTCTATGTGATTATGTTCTGGTGGTAAATTTAATTACGTCAACCAAGTGCTCATCTCTAACCCACAGCAGCTATTATTATATATGGGAAAATCAAAGCTACTTGTCCATACAGGTTCTGTAATAATAATCATGTAATAAACACCATAAAGAAGGTAGCCCAGGTTTGACATGTTTAAACAAAAAAAAATCACAATAAGATGCTGGGTGACTCGCTACAGTGAATACATGAGGCATAAAAAAATTGAATTCTCGACAAAGTATATGCTTACTTCTGATGGTCGTACGCCAGAGTCCCATCGTTAACAACGGCCATGATGTATGGGTTGTTGTGCTGCAAAAAAAAAAAATAAAGTTGGGTTAGCCAAAGCTGGGAACGTACAATGACAAACAATAAAGAAAAGATGAAGTGGGGTTAGCCAAAACTGGGAACGTACAATGACAAACAATAAAGGAAAGATGAACGTACAATGACAAACAATAAAGGAAAGATGAAGTGGGGTTAGCCAAAACTGGGAACGTACAATGACAAACAATAAAGGAAAGATGAAGTGGGGTTAGCCAAGACTGGGAACGTACAATGACAAACAATAAAGGAAAGATGAAGTGGGGTTAGCCAAAACTGGGAACGTACAATGACAAACAATAAAGGAAAGCTAGAAAGTAGAACTAATGAACTGTTGAAAAAAAAAATAAACATTATAAACGGCAGGGTTAATGTTGTAGATACCAAACCTGTGATAGAGTGAATGTTTTAACAACAAAATCTATGACATAGTGAATATTCCAGCAACAAAATCTAGGATACAGTGATTGCTGTGGTCATGACGGTAGTATGAATGGCGTGATTACTAATGTTCACAACAGAGTAAATGGTGTGATTGTAAAAGCCTTTGACAGAATGATGACAGAATAAATGGTGTAGCTACAAAGCCTATGACAGCGTGAAAGTTGTGGTTACAAAACCTATGGTAACAATGTATTTTTTAAATACAAAACCATATACCAGAGAAGAAAAAGCAATGACAAGAGGACTCTATTCTAAAGGCTTGAAGGTTGGTGATTAACATCACTGTACTGGTTTTATCCTTTATCATATATGATTGTCTTCCTCCGCATAGCAGCTGGCCACCTGCTAAAAGAGCCACACAAAAAACACAAACCAAGGCAAAAAAATAGCTTGACCACTCCTTCTTCTTAGTGTTTACCAGATGTAAACTCTGGCGGAAAGTTCTAGTTGTTCATCCACCTCTGGACTTTGGTTTTGATACTGAACCTGAGTTTTGCATGCATTTTCATGTTACAGATTTTACTTATTTGTATGCAGAATGTTGATACCTTGCCTCTCAGGTGGATAGAAAACATCCATAATCAACCGTCTCCTATGGGGGAAAGGCGCGGTCTTTGTTCTCCATGATAAAGCCATGGAATCCACACTGGCACCTGACCATTTTATTACTAACACACTGCATGCTCAAAGATGGCTAAATACAAAGATGTATCATCGTGAATCACTGTGGCATAGTGGTTAGTGCGCTAGTCTTCCCAAACCGGAGGAAATGATTTCTTTCATAAATAAGTTAAGACCAAGATCACTGAACCATAAATCCCCTGTCCCCATTATCAGCAGCAAGTGCTGAGTTCCAAACTCCTTCTCTCATAGAAGAACATACAAACAGTAAAGGAATCTCACAGGATGACTATACAGAAAATCAACAAGAAGAAAAAACCATACCTGGCCATCGTTGTCGAAGGAGTCCAGGAAGACACCTAATCCCTTCCATCTATCAGCTGCTCCAAATACTACAAGGTCTGCAGGGTTATCAGTCTGTGATGCTCGTCCTTCAGTAAACCAGATGGCCTAAATGTTAAAGAAAAACAAATATCCAATGTTAATAGTCCATAGCACTACAATAGCTAACAAATTTCAGAGTATGCTTATCCACCTAGTAAACTAATGAATGTATGAATCAAGAAATGACATAACTACACTAAAGGATATTCAAATACATGCTCCGTCTCCTTTCTGGGTAGCCAATGAAGAGTCCTCACACTAGCAGTGCCAGCTGCAACCTGATAACAAGTTGTTTATCCCTCACTGATGAATACCAACCAGAACCTCTACTCTTCCCCCACCCCTGAATTAGTCTCTCAATACTCAACTGGAGAAACAAGCCTCCCGAACTAAATATACAAATAAATGCTATTTTATGTACAGACACACAACCACATCTTGCCATATTCTGTTTAGTTTACACACACACACACAAACCCAAGTCTTTTCTATTGTAAATGCAGCAGCCCAACCTTACTCATAAACTAACCGATGTGAATATAACAAAAATGGGCAAAATATTTGTTTCTGGTTGCTTTATCACTTATGTGGAAACGATACATGAATAGGTAAAATTCTTCCCGACTCTATTTTTCACACTTCCATTACGTGCAACTTTCTTTACTATGATAATTCCTGTTGTTTCATTTGCTGATGAAGACTTTGGTCAAAACAATCAGTTCTATTTGCACATCTTTCCCTTTCCCTACTGAGCCTCTAAGACCCATTCTATAGTATGCTTACTTCTTGATATCAGTTCGACTACTGTCACTGTTTCTACATCATTAGGAATAAGCAGCAGCTTGTGCCTATAAGTGGTGACTTCATAATGGTTATTAAATTCACCACTGAGAGACATTAGAATGATAGCATTAATAAGTCTGACAATTTGCTTCTGAAAATGTGTACCTGATGCCATATTTCAAACAAATAAGACAATAATAATCTGCACCATTCAAGCCAAAGACATGGAGATATAAATAAAACACATACCAAGCCATCTGCACCAACTCTACCTCTGCCTGTGATCCGAATGCCGGCCTCAATCTCCCAGCCTTTGGCTTCAAGTTTGTTCTTGGACCATACAGAACCTGCATATTAAATTAACCACGTAATTGAGTTTGTTGTGTTATATACTACGGCAAATGGCATCTTTCTGTTTTCTGCTGCTTGATTCAATCCTATGTATCTCTCTAGCGTCAGTCTTGGTTCCTGGGTGGGACAGATGCCTTTAACCTACCATTTATTTTCCAATTTTTGAATGGAGAAATTCTCAAAAGTTTGTAATGATACAGCATGCACAACACACAGAGAAAATAATAATATACACATTTGAAAGGTTACAGAAATAAAGGTAGTCTCATAGCAGACACTGCCGCTGTATGTAAAGTTTAATCCACACATCATAGGTCATAAAATGGGTGGGGTTACCAGTTTCCTTTCCAGCTACCTTTCCTTCTTGGAAATTCTTTCAAGAAAATTCTAAATTCCTCTAGAAACTTTTCTTATAAAGCTCGGCCAACCCTAGAGTAGTTGTAGTGGTCAAGAAAAGGTAACTGTCTCAGCAGGAATGTGCACTAACTGTTATGTCAAGATGGCTTTAAAGCTGTCGTTTAAAACATATTCTGGGTGGTGCCCCTTTTTAAAAATATAAACCTCCACCCAACAACAATAAAAATAATGTGATTTAACAGGGACGGACAAAAAGAACACTCCCAAGCAGCCCTAAGAAAAACTTTAAAACATCAATGTGATGATTGTTATGTTTTGTCTTGATGATATCTGCTATGTTTGGTCTGATGCTGAACAAGAAACAACGGAGATCCCTCTATACATTATACTGGTGGCGCTGTATTGCTTTTATCACTGGTAAATTTTAGTTTGTAATTAAACTGGGGAAAAAGGGCTATCCTCCAAACTTCGGGCACTAAAGATGGCGACCGCAAAATATTCTTTCCAGCCACAGTCACGTGACTTAATTTGCGGTTCTCCAGTATTTTCCGTCGACTACTGCCACCAGTTCCCCATGCCGCGTGGATTGGGGCTAAACCAGATGGCTTGGACTCACGAGCAAAGCTTCAGGAGATGCGGAAGCTGCTGCTTGTGGGTCCTAGCCAGGAGAACCGCAAATTAAGTCGCCAGAAGTGCGCAACTGACAAGTGACTGTGGCTCGAAAGGATATTTTGCGGCCGCCATCTGTAGCAGCCGAAAAAAGTAAAACAAATTATTACAAGTACAAATGCACTCAATGTTTAAATTGCTTAACACTCTCCCTCCGGTTGAAAAACCACTGCTCTAAAGATGCATAAACACACAAACCGGAATGTTTTATGTGCCAGTTCAAGAAGTATTTGACAGAGACATGATCTGCATTTTCGCAGAATGAGCGTGGATGGTCACATTATAGGGTCAAGGTATCACTTCTGTTAACAGTAACCAAACTTTACACTAACTTCAAATATCTATTTACTGAGGCAGTAATTTGATCTATTTAATGTATCTGAGGGATCTCTTATCTGAGTGTCAGCCAGCACACGACAAGTAATTCAATACTCACTTCACAAGTATCAGCGTGGATCATCAAATTCATGAGAGCACTTCTTGTTAACAGCAGCAAGCTTTTACTTTAATTTTGGCAGTAATGTAGATAAAGATGGAGGAACTGATAGAGATATTAAAATAAGAATACAAAAGGCAAGAGGGGCTTTCATAGCACTAGGGAATTTGTGGAGGTCAAAAGAAATTAAGAGAAATACTAAACTAAAAATTTTTAATTCTAATGTCAAATCAGTACTATTGTATGGGGCGGAAACATGGAGAACAACCAAGGCAATTACTAATAAATTACAGACATTCATTAACTGGTGCCTGCGCAGAATAGAGGGAATAAAATGGTATGATAGAATAACTAATGTAGAACTTTGGGAGAGAACTAAACAGGCTCCAGTGGATCAGGAGGTGGGAAAAAGACGCTGGCGTTGGATAGGGCACACACTGAGAAAACAGGAGAACAGCATAACTAGAATGTCTTTGCATTGGAACCCACAGGGGCATAGGAATAAAGAAAAGCAAAAAAACACATGGAGAAGAGAGCTGGAGAATGAGGTTGGAAAGATTGGGAGGACATGGGGAGAGCTCCATGCAATGGCGAAGGATAGAACGACTTGGCGTGAGTTGGTTGAGGGCCTATGCTCCATTGGGGGATAGAAAGGCAGAAGAAAGAAGAAGACTTCTTGTTAACAGCAGCTAGCTTTTACTCTAATTTTAGTAGGTGAAGTGTTAAATTTTACACAAAATTTTGGCAGGAGTCATGATACATTGATAACTAACTTTAGTAGGTAAAGTATGACATTTTACACTATCTTTAGTAGATGGTGAAATACAATGAAACTAACTTTAGTAGGTAAAGTATGACATTTTACACTATCTTTAGTAGATGGTGTGATACAATGAAACTAACTTTAGTAGGTAAAGTATGACATTTTACACTATCTTTAGTAGATGGAGTGATACAATGAAACTAACTTTAGTAGGTAAAGTATGACATTTTACACTATCTTTAGTAGATGGTGTGATACAATGAAACTAACTTTAGTAGGTAAAGTATGACATTTTACACTATCTTTAGTAGATGGTGTGATACAATGAAACTAACTTTAGTAGGTAAAGTATGACATTTTACACTATCTTTAGTAGATGGTGTGATACAATGAAACTAACTTTAGTAGGTAAAGTATGACATTTTACACTATCTTTAGTAGATGGTGTGATACAATGAAACTAACTTTAGTAGGTAAATTATTACATTTTAGACTAGTTTGAGTAGATGATGTGATTCATTTAAAACTTAAGTAGGTAAAATATTACATTTTACACTATCTCCAGTAAATGATGTGATACATTGAAAACTAACTTTAGTAGGTAAAGTATTACATTTTACACTATCTCCAGGGAATGATGTGATACATTAAAAACTAACTTTAGTAGGTAAAGTATTACATTTTACACTATCTCCAGTAGATGATGTGATTACATTGAAAACTAACTTTAGTAGGTAAAGTATTACATTTTACACTATCTCCAGTAGATGATGTGATTACATTGAAAACTAACTTTAGTAGGTAAAGTATTACATTTTACACTAGCTTCAGTAGATGATAAAATACATTTAAAACTAAGTTTAGTAGGTAAGTTATTAAATTTTACATTATTCAGCAGATAATGTGATACATTTTACACTAACTTTAGTAGGTGATGTAACACAATGTGACAGTATACTGATAAATCTAGTGATTGTGACATACATCATAAGTGAGTGTTTAGCCAGCAGATGACAAGTAGTTACATAATTTGATATCTGCTATGGAAGAATTAGCATGACTGGAGTGTAACCTGTCTTTATGCTTTATTCAGTAATAGGTGCAACAGACTGTAACAAGAAATAGATCTATTTAGATTATCTCAAGGACACTGCTGAACTAGATGTTATCAATGACATCCTTCTTTGAATAATTTTCTTTACCTTTCTTGCTCCTCAATGAAGGTGTTATCCTTATGCCTTCATCTCCTGCCAAGGCATCTGAAATTTGAAAAATGATGAAAATGTTTAGAATACAAAAGCTACAAATATGCTATAACATGTGGGGGGTTTTATAGCATAACTTAATGCAATAAAGCTGGCATTTGAGAAATATATTTTGAGAATGGAGGTGGAGGCAGTCACTGCAGCATTCTGCTGGCTTGAGAACCAGCTGTACTCACATGTCGTGATTGTAACTGAACCGAAGAGCATATTGAGAAAACTGAAGACAAGTATCCTCCGTGAAGAGTGGCAAGCGCTGCCATAGGTTCCCGGGTGGTTAGCATTCTTTGGATGTGTTGGGGAAACAAACAAGCAGATATACTTGCTGGTTTTGCACAACCTAGTGGTGAAATGATGCACGCTAAGCTACTTTTCTACAGGTCTTTTGGGAGCACATGAAAACGCGGAGGCACAAACAGATCATCATGATCTGAGGAAAATGGTGCCGTGGTGAGTAACAACGAAATCTAGGTAATGCTCAACACTCATTGGAAAGTCGAGATGGATATTTAATCAGACTGTTAGTCATGCCACCGGAATTGGAACTCTGCTCTTGCTGCTGAAGATGGCGATGGACAGCCTATACAAATATTCAGAGCAAAATGATGTTGACTCCTTATATCATTTTAAAAGTTTGCCAGTCATTCATCATTCTGTGTGTTTGCAGGTTTTCTGTATATATTTTCTTATATATACTGTGCATCATCAAGCTTCTATATTATTAAGCCATTAGAGAAACATTTATCAGGTGTTGTCTCCACAATGAAGGTTGGCTGAATTAGATCTATAACACACCCTTAATCTTGGCTTGTCTTCATTTATCTCCTGATGTTATCCTCACACTAACACTGTCTACATCTTGATTTACAGAAAGGACAGAAACATCTTTACAATTACTCATCAAAAGCAATTACAACAGAAGTATTTGCAGGAAGAATTTTAATAAAACAAAGAAACACAACACTTTTTTCTCAATGTCAATTTAAAAAAAAAAAAAAATGCAGACATACACAATACATTGCACAATTTATTGAATGACATATTACGCCATGAGGTACATTACTACAGAGTTAAACAAACATATAATAAAATAATAAAAAAATCCTTCTCTCTGAAGATCAGCCATGTGATTACCATGGTAACTACAAATTTATTACCAGGTGAATTATTGGACTTTTGCAATTTCCATTTAAGCATGGGATATAAATATTAAAACCAATGGCAAAAACAAAAAACAAAAAACTATAGCTACATAATGTTCAAGATGTGTGTGCAATTAAAATCAGATTATTAAGGATTGCAACAGAGCAGAAGGTATTTCAAGAAACAAATCCCTACAGTAAGCATCTTAGAACA